CTATTAGCATTAAATAGCGAAACGTCAGTAAAAACAATATCGTTTGTTTTTCATTCATTGGGAAATACAAAAGAAACCTTTATTATAATGAATATCATATACCCAATCCGCAAATTTTTTCAAACTGTTAAAAGTGAACTTTGTTTGGACAAGTATAACAATGGTATCTGTTTACAGCCGTGAAGTGTATGAACAACTAATATCAGTAAAACGTTTGAGCATTGTGGATTAGATTAGATAAAGTATAATTATATTTCAATAGTTTACACACACAAAACTTATCATTGTGTGTAAACTATTGAAGTATAATTATACTTTATGTGTGAACAACATTTACGGTTATTTCATCTCTGATTGCTGGTAGCTACCTGACATGGAAGTAATAATGTTGATAAATGTTCACTCAGCTAATTAGATGTTCAGTGATTCCAGAGCAATAAAACAACTGGTCAAAGATCGCCTAATAGCTGAACCGTCATAGAGAGTCGTTGTTAGGTGAACATGCACAAACAGATATCTTACTAAAAAACCTTGGTATGTCTAGGATCTGATATGTTGCAAATTAGTTTTATTCAGCTGACTATATTGATAGTCTTACATTAAACACAAGTATATGTGACTGGAATAACCAAATTAGCTTGAAATGATGTGGATTAGTGGCGTCTGCGAATGAAGCTTCATATCTTTGCATAACAACTCGGTAAAGATGCCTGGATATCTGGAAAATTCCACTACCTTTGCCATAAGTGTAAAAGAACAACAAGAGCGGTAAAAACCAAGTTTCGCGGTTGTGTATTTGCAAATGTTACTATCAAGAACAACAAATTGTGTTCAAAACTCCGTTCAGTAAATAATACTGTTTCACTGCGTGACACATCCAACAAACCAATTAATATGGAACTAAACAACTGTTTTACCTTGAGGGATTAGCTGTATATTACAAAGACTCCTAGATATTATGTAGGGCTTTTCAAGTCAAATACACAAGATTACAGTTTCATATCACAACTGCAACCAACATTTTGTGGTCTTAAGAAGTACCTCAGAATGACGTAGAATATTCCCAATAAGATGAAATCAAAACTTTGTTAGCAAGAATCACATTACGTGCAATTCTCTCAGATTGTCCAAAGCCAGAATGACCTTCATTCACTTAAGGAAAATCGCAGTTACAAACAACACAGGATCAGTGTCATCACAAAACCAAAAAGAGAAACTTTAACATTAGAAATGTAACGGTGAAAAAGGGAAAAACATAAATCAAGATTAAGTTAACAGGTGATATACAAATATCAAAATACTAATGTGCAGTCTTGGAGAAAGGAAGATAACAATTACAGACTTACAAGATTCCATTATGAGCTGACATTGTTTAGAGAACCACTGGAAAGCCTGAGAGTACTGGACAGCTGTTGCGTTCTAGTTCGGGACTCTTCATTAGTACGCACCCACCGGGGTTCGAAGAGTCCCAAACTAGGACGAAACAGCTGTCCAGTGCTCCCAGGTTTTCCAGTGGTCCTCTAACTGATGTCAGCTCATGATGAAACCCTGTAACCAATCAAATCCCTACAAACCAACACTTAGATTACAGACATCGATGGAGTGTCGAAATATAATACATAAATCGGTGGATGGTGACTAGCAGTGGAAGCCATCAGGGTTCTCATTTCGTTGTGCAACGGGTGGCTCTCGTAGCCCAAGTGGTCTGGTGGACAACGCTTTGGCGTTGAAAACTATGGTCACTGGGTTCGAGACCTCGGTGGGAACACGATTACTCACTGGGGAATGCAGGTATATCCAGCTAGTTGACGAGTCCCAGATAGGACGAAATGAGAACCCTGATGGCTTCCACTGCTAGTCACCATCCACCGATTAACTTCTAATTACATGTCTAGGCATTGTCGAAGCATCTGCACAAGAAGCCGACATGTAAACCTGAGACCGAGCACTTTGGTTCAATGAGTCGACGGAAAAATCTAAAATTTTATTAAAATAAAATAAAATTAATCATGATTAATAAAATAAAATCTGAATAAATCTGCTGAGGAAGCTGTGGCTTACACAGCGAAACGTTCAGAAAAATCTTGTTTTGATTTTCCTAACACGCTGGGATTAATTTAAATAGTTTATAATGAATCAGTCTGACTCGGCGCACAAATTATTTCAGGAAGTTCGTAACACCTGCGGTCTCGAAATTTATAACATTATCTAGCAGTGTTAGTGAAAATATCATTTTTAATGTTTAACATCATTTTTTTTCGTTCAAGGCTCCTAACTTCTGTTAGATCGTAATAACGCCAATACAGCTCGTCAGTATAAAAACGCAATCGTCTCGTGAACTCTTTTCCGAGTTTCTATTCCTCTCTGCGGCATTGTAGTTAAGAGAAAGAGTGTAATTTTATTAAAACAGTACAAATCCTCATCGATGATATTAGCTGGTGGTCATGCTAAAGTCACCGAAGTTATAATTTATGAACCAGTCAGTGGATTCCGTTTTGACTGTGTGACTAGTAAACAGGCTAGCCTCGTAACCTGAAGGTCCTAGATTCAATCCTGTGTGAATGTGGTCGTGAGTGAGTACTGCTGAAGAGCTCGAAACAGGCGAGAGAAAATGTCCAGTACTCACTGGTTTTCAGTAGTTCCTTAACTGAATTATAACCCGATCCACAGATTTTTGCTTCTTCATTTTTTCTAAATGTATATGCTATTGCTCATTACGCAAAATCAAGGTAAAACATATCGAACCACATCAGTGTTATGATTTACTGTTTCACATGTTGAGGAGACAGGTTAATCATTTTATAATTCAAAAAGCAGATCACGAGAACTCATCAGTACAAGTGTCATACTAAAAATGCCTTTAGATATTAGTCGTTGTTCTAACCACCTAACAGTTTATTGAAGACGACTCAAATGTCAAGCAATTTAACATTGATATTCACCGATGTACAACACCAGTAGATATATTTGGTGTAATAGAAAAGATTTGTAACTCAGGTGGATGATTTGCAATTAATAGTAATCTCTGAGCTGGTTGGTTTAGTTGCGGAGCTGAAGATGCCGTCCAGAAAGACGACGAAAGCTCCGCAACTAAACCAACCAGCTCAGAGAACAATATTGATTGCATATATTTGGTGTGCATGCTACACTACATCGCATGTTTCATTTGAGAACTTTTCATGAATTGTAAAGACTATTTTATCATATTTCATATTTTGGTGCTCACATACGAAATTTCGGTTGGGTGTTTATTTAAAACAAGCAATAAAGGTTAATAAAGCAGGATTTAATGAATTCATCAAATTTCGGTAGAACTCGTCAGCTGAATACTCTACATACACGGATATATATACTTTTGAAATTACATTGGGAGATATAAGACTGATAAGTAAACAAACTACATTGAATTAATCATGCAGAAAGACACGTGCGAATGTTTTCCAGGTCATGTTCAAATAGATAAGGGGAGAGAGAGTATGAGAGATCAAAATTTAGATCAAGAAGCAAACAAAGAAACAAGAAGATGCTTGCAGTTTCAGAGGCTTGTGCAATTCGAATTTATAAACCAGCTCTCTGTATGCAAAAGGAGATGGTCGTGACTCTTAATCTACCGTGGTAATACGTTTTATTCTCTACTTGTTATTATTCTACCTCTTCTTTTTACTATTATTGTTATTATTACTACCATTATTATTATTCTTGATTCATCTAAAACTATGCTTTATCAGTAAGATTATCTTAACTCACTTCAACACTATTAAAACTGTTATTATAACTATTACTATTGATATTAGTCTGTTTGCAATTCTCGTTATATTCCCTAATGACTAATTGTTTATCTAAGTGATGTAATTGAACCGTAGTGCAATTTATCTTAATTTTGAACTCTCATACTCTCTCTCCCCTTATCTATTTGAACATGACCTGGAAAACATTCGCACGTGTCTTTCTGCATGATTAATTCAATGTAGTTTGTTTACTTATCAGTCTTATATCTCCCAATGTAATTTCAAAAGTATATATATCCGTGTATGTAGAGTATTCAGCTGACGAGTTCTACCGAAATTTGATGAATTCATTAAATCCTGCTTTATTAACCTTTATTGCTTGTTTTTAATTCGTATTGGGTGTTTATTACCGTGAAATGTTTGACAACTATAATCTCTAGTATTCTGTCATATTCTGATTTTATATGTGACCATCCGACAATATATCCCAATGCAGTTTAACATTACTGTATAGAAGCCAGATTTAACTGAAACGGTAGAGAGCACCCGCCGGGGTTCGAAGCCACACCTAATAACCAATCTGACGTTCACTAATGACTGGCTTTAGAGATGGGAAATTACTTGAAGTTTTAGTTAGAGGCTTTAACCAGCTGCGTTCACCGAGTCAGGTAAGAGAACAGTTAATCGCCAACGATACTGGCTGGTGGTGGCGCTATGTTGTAGTTGTCAGAAGTCCGAGTTCATGGGCTGTTGGTTTGGGTCCCATCGGCTGAATGGTCTACTAGCTCATCTTGTAACCGAAAGGTCGTATGTTTGAAAACCCTGAGTATTTACTGATGAAGGGTCCCAAACTAGGACAAAAAAGCTTATCCACTACTCCTTGATTTTTCAATGGTTTTTACTAAACGATGTCAACTCGTGGCCAAACCTGTAATCTTTCAAATCTCTGCAAACCAACGCCTAATAATATTTGGAACATGCCACAAAGGAAAACAAAAGCTTGATAGCAGAGGCATTAATAGACAGATCCATTTGCCTTAGTGCTTTCGACTGCAGACCATTTCACCCAAAGTCTTACTCAGCAGGTTTCAACAGAATTTAGCTCGGTGGGAAAGTCAATTCCTTAATTTCTATCCTTTGATTTTTCAACTTCACAATTTGGAAATATTTACGCATAGTCAAGTTCTAAAGAGAGACAGTATTAAAGCATCTATTTAAAGAACCAAAACTTCAGAAAAGATCGCTCTATTTGATTCCAAAAATACAGAAGGCTTAAGATTTCATGCACAAACTAACACTTTTGTCCCTCTAACTTAGTGAAAATTCCCAAAGAATGTAAATGGAAAGTTCGAGTGTGTCACTAGGATCACCTACACTGAGCGATCAATATTTATAGGGATCAAACTGTTAGACTCTGTCACAGAAAAGTAATGATTAAGAGTATAATTTAAACAATTTATTGATAATTTTATTTGTGTTTTTTTTAAAAATTCACCTCTTACAAACAGAATTACACAGAAATACGCACACACATCACACAATGTGAGCCTAAAAAAGTGGAAAAAATGTTTTGCTCAGATACATAAAGCTATGAACACTGATTTCTTCGATATTTCAATTTTTTTAGTTTTTGGGGGGTATTATTTTTTTGTTAAATAAAAATTAAACGAAGAAGATTAACAGTTAGGCAGTGATGTAAGTAGGTTGGTTTATTGTTGTTGAAATATTATCACATTTATTGATCACTTGTATAGACTATCGAAATGAACTTCCATATTCAGTTAACCTGACTTGAACAGTAGAATCGCTCGATCACCGAGGAAGAAGTAAATAAAGGATCGTTCTTCGTGAGATACATCACTGAAATGGATATAATTAAAGATATTTATCAAAGCAAAATCTAAAACCACTTTTTAAAAAAAACAAGATTTTTATTTTCACATGAAGTATGTTATAACAATAGTTGGGCGTACCTTCCAAAACGTCGACCTACAACACAATGCCATGATCGACCATATTTTTTATTGAATTTATTCTTAATAAAATTGGCTACATCCATGTCAGCTTGATATTTATCCATAGCACAGGCTGTAACGCGTATTGCAGACTCCATCATTTCATCATCCATATCAGTATTTTTAACAATTACTTTACTGAGAGACATCGTGTGTTTGATTGACACTGTTGCCGTTGTCTTCGTCGTCGTCGTGTCGTCGTGGTAGTCGTTGTCGTCTCTAGCTTGCTTGTTCAGTCTTATATATATTTATTTATTTATATGTATTCTGATAACAGTGAGCACAGTCTTCTTCTTTAACGTCAGTTTTCACTTGCCTACTGCCTAAAATTTATCTAATTAATTTGCTCTATTGAATCAAATTGTCTTCTTGTGTATGTATGTGTATGAGTGAGTGAGTGTTTGTGTGTATTCTTGTCTCTATTTACCTACAGAGTATCGTATGTCTATTTAGTTTGGCATATCTCTATACATCTATCCATCTATCTATCTAGCTAGCTACATGATCGTAAGATTGAAGTTTACCTTACAAAATAACGTGTAGCATCCATCTACTCACAATTATAATCTTACAAACACTAGGACTCACTCACTCACGCACACACACACATATACACAGAAACACACAGAGATCACAGTATCCGTCTATCATTTCAAATAAGTAGTTTTAAGTGAATGATCAGGCAGGATGATTTCAGTTAATTAGAAACATGAATTTTCATAACTCTATACTGTTAATAATAATAAGAAGAACAACGACAACTCTACAAATTCATTAGAACAAACTAAAAAATTGATCTTCATTTATTAATTTAGTTTTACCTATTGATGGACTGGTCAAAGTCAGAATCGGAAAGGCAAGATATGCCTTCTTCAATCTGGCACCAGTTTGGAAATCTTCTGCACTCTACCTCAGCATAAGGAACAAGATTCGCATTTTCAACACCAATGTAAAGTCGGTTCTTCTATAAGGGTCAGAAACTTGCACTGTGTGTGAGTCACGAAAAGGATTTCCAACAGGTTGCAAATTTTCATCAATAGCTGCCTTCTCTGACTGGCTCCATCCTGAAGATCAAATGATCGGTCAGAAGAATAAGCAACAAGGAACTACGGGAACAAACTAACAGGCGAGAACCGATCGCTCAACAAATATGTAGGAGAAAGTGGAGATGGATCAGGCATACATTGAGGAGGCCGCCGAATGACATCGCATGCCAGGCCAGTGCTCAAGTGGAATCACAATGGGAAGCAACGAGTTGGTCATCATTGCGAGGATCACATGGAGGAGATCGTGTGAGGAAGAGATAAGAGAAATTTGTCAGTTAGGGACCCAGCTGACGAGGACGGTAGAAAACAGAACAATGTGAAGATATTTTGCTGAAGCCCTATATTCCACTCGGAACGCAAGGGAATAACAAAGTGATGGACTGGGGTCTCTGCACACTGTGTGTGTGTGTCCGAACAGACTTCACCGCCTTCATATGCCCACCAACAAGTTACACACTCGACACAAACTGCTGTCTTTTCACTCCATACTACATTTCACTGGTTTGGTCATTTTGCGTTTTGGTATAACAGCCGGTTTATACAAGAGGAGTATTTACACAACCATGTTGATTACATTAAAGTTACTTCAATACGAATCAGTGACTTCAAAGACGGTTAAAGATATGAGCTTTTTGTAGAGAGATCCATTAGGAAAGTCCACTTTCTATCTTGAAATGAAATAGTTTTGATTGGAAATGTCTATTCAAAAATCTGAAGCCCGTTAGATATCGAACACTCTAAACAACAGAGGCCATTACAATTAGCCCTAAAAAATGGAGGCTTACACGCAAAATAAGTAGATCCAGACACTAATTTCTACCCTGACCTACTGTCGAGCCTATAAATTCCTTGATTCTATGTGTTGCTCCCCTCAATTTTCTGATATTCAATTAGTTAAGTGTTATATTAATGCATATTGTCTGTCGCTCTTGCTTACTGATGCTTTTGAAATGTAAGCATATACCGATACCATTGATTCAGTGTAATATAAAACGACATTATTCTTGCTGATAACAATACTTCTTTAGTTATTACTGTTCACTAATCAGTCTTTTGGAACAAGTTCCTTTTAAAGGCAGTGTTAGACTTTACTCCATCTTAAAGGTCGGAGATCATATTTGAATTGTTGAGAATATTCTGTCTACATTAGTCTAAAAACATAAATATCCTTGGCTAAATACAGTAAAAGTATAAGATTCTAGTTAGATGATTTAAGATCAATTTTTTTGAATAGTAATTCGAAACTAACTAACAGCTAGTACCCTGGTTATATGAAGACAGTTGGTTTGAAATAAAACTAAATAATTATGATAGTCTTAAAGCTTAAATTAAGAGATGTCTAAATAATTAATACACCTCATCACCATTGTACACACATTTATTCCAGCAATATGTAGTCAACAACAGAAGTCTGAATTTTTAAAGACGCTAGTAAGTTCTCCTCCTTGCGGAGTACACCACAGTGACTGAACCTAAATATTCCAGTATAGCTGGAATTACGTTGTGTTAGTCTATCTGTGCTGAACAGCGATGACGTAATTTGACCATATCATTATCATTTTTATCGTTGTTGTTTCCTTTAATTCCTAGAGGAACATACGGCTTCAGTCTCACGTTGCCATCGCGTTCGGTTCTCTGCCAACGTTTTCACCTCGCTCCATGTCTGCTCACATGCTTTCATCTCCTCTTCACTTGACCTTCTTCACGTCATCCTCTCATTGACGACCAACTCACCACTTCCCATTCAGGTCCATTCGAGCGATGGCCTGGCGTGTGATGCCACTCACTTGATGGTTTGTTTTCTGAAAGTGTAGCCAATCCACATCTATTTCTTCCTGCATATTTGCTGCACAAGTTTTTCCTGCTCCGTCGGTTCACTTCCAGAGACCCCTCTGTGTTGCTGATCTTTACTGGCCGGCCATCTAATCTTGAGTAGTATTGAGCAAAGACAGCTGTTGATGGTGTGTAGTTTGTTCGAAGTGCCCTTCGTGACGCGACGCCAAGTCTCTGATCCATATAGTAGCACTGACTTCACATTGGAGTTGAAAATCCGAGTCTTATTTTTCGTGCTGAGTGTGCTGTTGATCTTCACAAAGACTGGAGAGTAATGAGAGCTTGTCTTGCTTTCCCGATCCTCGCTTCGATATTCTCATCAGTTCCGTCTGTCTTTAGTTGAAACGATGCTTCTCAGTTAGGTGGTAAAGGGGGTGGCTTCTTTCAGACTCCTCCCATTTATGCTGATTGTTGTATGTTGTTGTTGCCACTGCTGTTGGCTAGGAATCTTCATTACCACCTCTGTTTTCTCTGTGACCACCTGAATCCCTTCCTATAAATGGTGCTTCTTCTGCTAACTTTGCTTTTCACCTACATATCTTCCAGTTTGTGGGAAATCCAGAACTATGTTGTCCAGAAGTTAAATTCAAAAAAGTAGATTCTATTAGAAAAAAGGTCATGATACTTTGATTACTAAGTGAGATATGAGACTGTTTATTCATTTTTCAACTATCAAAATGCTGGCTGAATGGTTATGCGACGAAAGTACCACAGAACGCGACTAGTTGCTATTCAATAAAATCACCAATTTTTCTGAAGTCATTTTATAACTACTCTCTTAGTACTTAAGTTATACTAAGGCTAAGTGAATATACAGCGTCAGCGGCACATATTCACTGTACTCGAACTTCCTTCATCATGTAATGACCGATGTGTAGTCTAGAATTTAAACTGATGGCACCCAGTCCAAAAGTCAGCTATTGGGGTCCATGGCTGACCCATAGTAGGACTATAATCTAACATTTGTTGACAAGTAGGGTGCAGCAGGTTGAAGGTGAGGCGGTAACTCATCGAAGAAGACATTATAAAGTGGTCCACTAGGTTATGAATTGGGAGGAGTAAGAATTAATGGTCTGGCCATTGGATCAGGTCCCAGTGGTTTAGTGGTCTACGAGTTCGCCTTGTAACCATAAGGTCCTGGGTTGGAACCTCGACGTGTGCATTCCAATGAAGAGTATCAAACAAGGACTAGAGACACCGCTGTCCACTACTTCCAGCTAGTTTTCCAATGTTTCTCTTATTGATATTGGCTCATGATGGAATCCTTCAACCAATCAAACAAAATCCCCAACAAAATTAATACTTAAAAACATGAAGAAAATGATTAAAGGTGTGAGAAATTTTGAGAGTTTTTGTAGAAACACTCACCAGGGAATATGGCCTGCTAATATTGCAGATACCTTCATTCTTTTAGCACACTTAGGTTTAATATCTACAGAATGCTATTCATACTGTGGAATAAACAGCTAATTGTTGCTTAATATTGGTAAGGAACAGTTATGCAACTGATTTCGATATAATGACTCCTTAGTAGCCACTGATTGGGCCTAGTATATGAATTATGTCACTATTCTAGGGGACTTAGTGTTCCCACTATGAACTGCGCTGGTTGTAATGAACATTCCTTGTTCTATTGTGTACAAATGAAAAATTCATTCCTTTTGTTTCTGTTAGCATAGTGAAGCCTAAACATGTTTACCGATAAATAACATGGATCTAACCTTCAGATTCTCAGTAGATTTATTCTGTTGACTTTAATAGTAACTGAGCTTGACTAACCACTGAGTACATTGAGCTAAATTACATATTTCTATCACGTTAAGCTTACATCACTGAACAGCCGTAGATAGTTGAACTAGCCTATTTAAACGATATTAAGCTCAATGGGAATTACATCAGTACAGAAATACAGTATGATGCTGATATGTTGCGTATAGATCTTAAGACAATACAAAACGGCTTACTT